GTTGACAACCTGATCAAAGAAGTCAAGAAGCGTGACATGAAACTCGTCATGGACCTCGTGGTTAATCATACATCGGAAGAGCATGCATGGTTTCTGGACTCGCGTTCATCAAAGCAATCTTCGAAACGCGACTGGTATATCTGGAAGCCTGCAAAATACGATGCTGAAGGAAATCGCGTACCTCCGAACAACTGGGCGCAGATTCTAGGAGAGGCCAACTCTGCGTGGACCTGGGACGAGAAGACTCAGGAGTACTACCTATCGCTCTTTACGCCCGAACAGCCGGATCTCAATTGGGAAAACCCCGATGTGCGCGCAGCCGTACATGACATTCTGCGCTTTTGGCTCGACAGGGGTGTCTCTGGATTCCGTATGGATGTCATCAACATGATATCGAAGGTTCAGACGTTCCCCGATGCGGCCGTTTCGGTCAAAGACAACAAGTACCAGCCTGGCGACAAGTATTACGTCAACGGCCCAAGACTACACGAGTGGTTGAAGGAACTTCGGCGTGACGTGCTCTCGAAGTACGATACGCTCACCGTCGGAGAGATGCCATTCGTCCGCGATGACGACGAGGTCATCAAAGTCGTTGGTGCCGAAAACGAAGAGCTGAACATGATCTTCGTTTTCGACTTGGTTGACATCGACAACGTACCCGGCGATTTCAAGTATACCCTACAACCATGGGATGCGCGGGATCTGAAGAAGATCGTGAACAGACTGCAGCGTCTGATGCTCGAGCGCGACGGCTGGAACTCGCTCTACGTGGAAAACCATGACCAGCCTCGGAGTGTAAGCAGGTTTACCGATGACAGCGACCAGTGGCGCGAGTATGGCGCAAAACTATTGTGCTTGATGCAGACTACTCTCGCCGGAACGTTGTACGTATACCAAGGCGAAGAGATTGGCATGCGCAACGTGCCCAAAGAGTGGAAACCCGAGGAGTACAAGGATATCGAAAGTATCAACTTCTTCAAGAAGTACCGCGACCTCTACCCCGGCAATGCTGAGAAGCAGGCCCTAGCAGCCAAGATCATGGTAAGTCCAGGCTGTAAGACAAGAAATGAGACATAAGCTGACTACCTATTTCCATCCACCCAGCAACGCAAAGCTCGCGACAGCGCCAGAACACCCATGCAATGGGACTCATCCGCCCAAGCCGGGTTCACCAGCGGAAAACCCTGGATGCGCGTCAATGACGACTATCCCAGCATCAACGCAGCAGCTCAACTCGCAAACCCCGAACCTTCACCCGGTATGCTCTCCGTGCGCGCATTCTGGAAGCGCGGTCTCGAGTGTCGCAAAGAGAACAAGGACGTATTCGTGTACGGTGATTTCGAAATGCTCGATATGGAAGATCAAAAGGTCGTTGCCTATCGGCGGTGGAGTGACAAGAATGCTTTCATCACTGTGCTGAATTTCAGTGGAGAGCAGATAGCGTGGGAGAAGATGGGTGATCTGAAAGTGAAGAAGTGGGTTGCTGGTAACTATGACGAGAGGCAGTTGGATGAGAAGGCGAAGAGTGGGAAGCTGGAGTTGAGGCCTTGGGAAGCTGTGCTGGGTATGTTGGAGTAAAGTCTGACTCTGTGGCAACGATGGAAAGCACTGTGTTGTTTCTGAGTGGTCTTTATCACCGCTGCCGCGGCCGTTTACCTCCGATCTGCATTTTATGCAAGCCACTGCTAGAGTTGCTTCATCTGAGTCAAGGAAACATAGAGATTCAAAGTAGAGTTGCAAAGGAGTAAAGGATTTAAGTAAAGTGATGAATTAAAAGTCATATCTCGAATCCTAACGTTCGTCCAATCCAGAGTCTAATGTACAAGAAGCATGCGTGATGCTTCAGCTACGACCGTTTAGTAGTGGGAGCCAGAGCCGGAGCCAGATCCAGAGCCGGAAGCACCGCCTCCAACAGAGCCAGAGGCACCGCCGGAAGCACCACCTCCAACTGAGCCTGAGCCACCAGCACCGGCACCACCGCCAACAGATCCAGAAGCACCGCCACCAACAGAGCCGCCAACACCGGCACCAGCGTTACCACCAGCACCGGCACCAACACCGGCACCGCCGTGAGCACCACCTCCAACAGAGCCACCGACACCAGCACCAGCGCCGCCGTTGGCACCACCTCCAACGGAGCCTCCTACACCTCCACCGACGGATCCAGATGCACCACCGCCGACACCAGCACCAACACCGCCGTTGGCACCACCGCCGACAGAGCCGTTTGCTCCACCACCGACTGAGCCACCGACGCCGGCACCAGCTCCTCCTCCAACACCAGCACCAGCGCCGCCGTGAGCACCTCCGCCAACGGAGCCACCGACACCAGCACCAGCTCCTCCTCCTACACCGGCACCAGCACCTCCGTGAGCGCCGCCGTTGGCACCTCCGTGAGCACCACCGCCGATTCCGCCCATGAGGCCGCCGAGGCCACCAAGTCCGCCCTTGCCAGCGCCGCCAAGTCCGCCCATGAGGCCACCGAAGCCGCCGAGTCCGCCCTTGCCAGCGCCGGCACCTCCAGCACCAGCAGCGCCGCCAATGCCGGGAATGGCAAGGCCACCACCGATGCCAGGGAGCTTGCCACCAGCAGAGCCACCGAGTCCAGGAAGCTTGCCGCCGCCGGGCATGAAGCCACCGATCATGCCACCGAGGCCGCCCTTGCCACCAGCAGAGCCACCGAGTCCAGGAAGACCGGCACCAATGCCGCCGCCGTAGCTGGGCTTTCCACCGCTGCCGCTGCTGGGAGTCTCATCGGAAGCACCAGAGTCGTAGCTGGGGCCTGAGCTGGAGCCAGATCCGTAGCTGGGAGAAGTTCCAGTGGTGATGGGAGCAGCTGGGGTGGTACCAGAGCCGGAGCCGTAGTTGGTAGGGAGAGCAGTAGCGATGCTAGCGATAGCAAGAACCTGAGCGATTTGGAACTTCATGTTTGCTGTTGTAGATTGATTGATATGTTTGACGAAAAGTCGAGTATTGGACGATTGGCGATATGAGATCGAGTAAAAATGTGATAGAAGTGAAGTGCTCTGCACAAACGATAGTAAGGACTAATAAAGTCGAGTATAGAGTAGTAACGAAAGTGTTGTTGGTTGCTGAAAGCGAAAGTGTGAAGTAGATGAGATCAAAGCTGATGCCTTTTTACTTTTGGCGCTGGGAACATGAGGTCTTATACTCGAGGGTTCTGAGTCGCATGGTAGACCTTCGTAGGTAGTAGACAGCCGTAGTCAGTGACCAGAGTGGCCCCTGAGCATGATGGTGGCGAGGCTCACAGTAGCTTCGTTTCGAAACATAGTGACTCTATTGAAAGAGTGATGAAGGGTTGTCTAGATTGTCGGTTTCACGCTATCTGCTGCGGGATCGACGGCAGGTAGACGGGAGATGCCTGAGCTGCGCAGGGTAGAGTGAGGGTAAAGCAGGTTAGAGTTGCGGGAGATGCCCCGATGTGCGCAGGGAGGGAAGGTTAGCCTGGCTTCTCCGCACCATGCGAATGTGCAGCCTTGCGGCCTTGAAACTAAAGTGGGTTGAGCTCGGGTCGTTCGAGGGGAAAATAGTAGCATTAGCGCATCCTTTATTCGTGATGTCGTCGAGTCGCACACCGATGTGGGTGGTAGCGCAAGCAGGAGTTCGTGAGGTCGGCTATCTTGGCTGCAGTTAGGTGGTGGAATCCGCCGTTCCAGGAGTGCCGCTAGGCTTGTTTCAGCCACCACAAGCACCATCGCGACTGACATCCGTCATCGTCCGCCTCTCCCAACGGAGATTCTCATCAGCAGCTGCGATAGTGAAGAGACGTCGCATCGAAAATAGCTACACTGCTTACCTCTGTCCAGGTACACCGCGGCAGCCGGCTAAATCGAACCGGCCTGTGCGCCATAGAGTTTGGAGTGGTACCTGAGCTTGCCGACCGACGACTTTGGCCTAGGACTGCCCGACTACTCAAGCTTTAATTGCGCATGAGCCTCTTCCTTACTAACTACCCGGCAACATTCGCATCGTCGTTTCTGGCACATCCCTTTTGGGGTTCGGAGACCCTGTCGTCCGTTGCAAACAAACAAATAAGTTTATGCTACGGTTCTGGATCCCTGGAGATCTGCCATCATACCCAGATGTGGCGATGCTTGGATGTTTCGCCAATCGCATTCCAGCTGCTAGGATTCGATTTCGTCCTTGAAAAGACTGGTGCTGATGACGAGATTTGTGACAACGTGACGAGATGGATTGGCCGGTCTATCGAACGCGGAACTTACCTTCGCGCGAAGCCGCGGACCTGCGTCGTGGGTGTCCCCTATTCTCGTTGCGAGTCGATTCCCAGCGGCGTCTCCACAGCGAAGAAGGCTATTCCATGCGTCCAGACAGTCGAAGTGGAGTCATAGTCACAGTGGCTCTTCGCTGTCGTGACTCGGCCTGGCAACGCCAACGCCAGCTTGCCTGACAGGCTGGAGCCGCACTTGCCAGTTCGGTACTTGTCGACAAGAAGACGACTACTCAGTATGTTTCAATGAGCCCACTTCTGTGCAAAGAGCTGCGCACAATGTTCTTGTTCACCGCCAGTGCTCAATGCGGCCAACTTGACATCCATTACCTAACGACGAGAAGCTACTCAACGGAATATGCTCTTACCGCCCAATGCAGTGCAGAGGTCTGACAACCAGCCTCGCACACCAGCATCTTGCAGTTAGAGTGCGCGAAGATCCCAATCGAACAACGCACTAGTCCAGGAAGACACCGATACCCTCATCACTGCTGTAGCCAAAGTCACGGAATCCCAGGTACCTGAACTATTGATTTGTATAGGCTTTGTTACCCGTGTGTGCTGTCAAACTTTGAGATCATCCTACGGGTATCGAAACACTAACTGCTCCATCAACGCCATCGCAAACCCAAAACAATCCAACAAAATCATCGTCTTCCATCGCACTGTATCCGTCCTATACCTCGCCATCAATGACGACACCCGGTTTAGCGGTGTCGCACTGATTGGTATAGTCTCCGTCTCTTTCTTTCTACTCAATGTCCTTGCTCCCTTCCACGGGCCAAGGACCTAGAGCCTTATAGAATCTACCGCGACTGCGCATACTTACTGAACCCCATGCCACTAGAAACAAAGACTGGTGTCTCTGCCTTCTTTGCTGTCCCGGAATTCTGCCAGCCGTGCTCGTTCACGGGGGCGCGTCTGGAAGGTGTGGTGACGGGAGTCTTCGGTCCCGGTGTGCTCGAGCCGGGGACATCATCGAAGCTGGGGGCGCCCCTTTTGCAGACCTAGAACGCATGTATGTTAGCGAGGCACTGAATAGATGTTGTATGGGATAATGTTACCTTGACATGAGAGCCGTGGAACCATTGCCCGTGTGCTTTGTCGAATTCACGCTCGCAGTGCCAGCACGTAATCCACTCTACCTTCGGCTTTGTCTGCTTCGACTGCTTGTAGCCAGTCAAACCGAGCTTGCCCAAAAGGCTTGTCTTCTTCGCGGGCGTCCATCTCGCGAAGTCATCGCACGCGTCGAGATGATCGCGGCAGGCATCCTGGCTATCTGTCACCAGGAACTGGTACTTGCAGGCACATGTATCTTTCGGGGGCTTCTCTGGGGTTGCCTTCGCTGGGGCGGGCGCGATTGTAGGCGCCTTGGTGGGTTGGACCACCTGCTCCTCAAGCCGGTCAAAAGTGTCATCAATGGCCTTGGCCAGCTCTTTGACGTCGGGATGAACCTCCAGAACTGCAGGAACGAACTTCCTCAAGAACTCCCACTGGTGATCGAACGTCCCTTCCAGCTCATACCGTCCACGACGTATCTTCATCGCAGTCTCAAGGTCGCCCAGGTGCTCCACAGGCCTGACTATCAATTCGTTAGTAGGGGTCTTTTGGTAGAGAATATATCGAGCTTACATTCAGAGTCGCTTCGCATTCTGGCCCTTATCTCCGGAAGGCGATCGTTCAAAGGCTTGCCCAACTTCTTCAGGACGGATGGCAGACACATGTTGACGTTTTCGATGATGCCGTAGACTGCATTCCACTCATTTGTCATGGAAAGGATTATCGCTTGCTGTGAATCGACAAGGACTTTCAGATCATCGGTGGAGGACGGTTGCTTGTTGAGCTTCGCCATGTCGAGGTCTTTACGCAATACTTCAAGCTCCTCATCCTTGCCAGAGATGGCAGCGGCGTGTTTTGTGTGAAGTGTGCCGATCTCTGATTCCTTGCCAGAGATGGCGATGGCGAGTTCGTAGTGTGCTTCCTGCAGCTCTGCGTCCTTGAGATTGATCGCGGTAACATGCTCGGCGCGTGAGTGTTCCAGCTTCTTAGCTTCATCGGCCTTTTGGTCCCTAGCCAGATCGAGCTCTTTGCGCAGCTCCTGTATTTGGGATTCATGGCGAGATACAATGTCGTCAAACTCCTTCTCCTTGTCGGCCACGTCAGCGATGTGCTTGGTGCGTGACTCTTCCAGCTCCTGGGCTTTGTCGTCCTTTTGCCGAGTGACCAAATCGAGCTGTTGACGAAGATCACGCATTGCGTCATCATGGCTAGATACAAGAGCGTCAAGCTCTTTGACTTTGTCGTTCTTTTGCAGCTCAACCGAATCGACATCTTCACGAAGCTTTTGCGTTTCGATTCCATGGCGAGTGATGATCGCAGTTTCAGACTGGTGTTTGGCTTCGAGCTGCCTGTCTTTAGCGGTGATGGCGACAACATGTTCGGCGCGTAATCTTTCTAGCTCCGCATCTTTGGCGTTAATTGTAGCAGCGAGATCGTTGCGCAAGCCTTCATCCTTCTTCTCTTTGGTCGAGAGAGCGACTTGATACTTCCTACGATGCTCCTGCATCTCCTTGCTCTTACGAGAAATAGCGTCCTTGTTTAGCTGTTGGAGTTCTCTCAGGTCCTTCTCCTTGTTGGAGACGACATCTGCGTGTTGCTCCTTGAGAGCCGAGATTTCATCTTTGAGCTGGCGAACGAGCTCATGGGCAGCGTCCAGATCGTGAGTCTTCTTCTCGAGATCTTCTTCACCGTTCAACTGCTCTTTGGCTGTATCCAACTTCGTCTGAAGTTGACGGCGCTCAGTCTCAAGGTCTGCACGTTCGCGCTCGGAGTCTCTCAGCTGGCGGTTGGCATCCTGAAGTTCTTCGTTGATACTTTCTGCGCGCTCGTCGGCATCTCGTGCGGACATACGCGTTCGCTCAATTTGAGTCTCGAGATTCGCCACTCTTCGAGAACTCTCGGTGAGGTTGAACTCAGCCTGTCGCAGGCCGTACCTACATTTGCGAAATGACTCTTCGATGTTTAACTTGTTGTCGGCCAGCTTTTGCAGTCGCGCCTCCAATTGTTGGCAGTCATCCTTTAGATCAGATGCTTCGGTCCGAGCGATGTCGAGCTCCGCGTTCTTGTGGCGAAGATCTTCCGACACGTCGTTGTGACCGGCCACAAGTGTACGGATCCGGGTGTCTTTAGTTGTATCGGACCGTGTAACAGACTCGTGTACTTGTTTGAGCTTGTCCAAGTTTGGAGTGTGTAGTGAATCGTAAGTTGAGGGGTTGGTGACGTCGAAGAAGAGAGAGTTGACGACGTCGTCCAATGCAGTAACCGACAGCGAGAGCTTCTTGTTTTCCAAGGCGAGCTGGATCTTCTCAAGCTTTTCTCGGTCCAGTTGAATCTTGCTATTATAAAGGCGACGACTGACATTGTTCCGGTTTATCCGGTGGAGATCTTTCCGCGACATCTTGGAGGCTTTCTTCCTCGCGTCTGACAGATCTACCATCTTCGAGAAGCTCCTGTAGAACTGCTTACAATCGGATAGAGACAGTGTCTGGGGTTTCTTCTTGCCAAAACACCAGACTAGCATTCCATGGAGAGATCCTACGACCCATGTGATGTCGATCGAGAAATCTGATGGGCGGTCCTTGCAGGAGTGGCGAGAAGGAAAGCAAAGGGAGTAGATGTAGATGATTAATGGGGCGAGTAGGGCAGAAAGTACGTGTATTCGCCTGAAATTTGGTTCATTGAGTCAGTGTACATCCTACACATGGTTCACACTTGGGTATTACTTACAGAAGGGCAATTCTGTCTTCAGAGGGATGCTTTTGCAGCTCCTCCTCGAAGATATTAATGTGGAGGACATGGCGAAACAACACGTCAGAGACATGGTGGGCGACGGAAAGATAGGACAGTACAATGAGGAGAAGAGCGTGGACCAGGAACATGGAATACATGATGGCGGTGGGGTGCGCGAAGCGCAAACAAAATGACTGAGTGTATCAAGAGTAATCAGGAGATGAGTGAAGTGTAGAAGTTCAAGATATGAGGAAAAGGTGGGTGTGTCCGGTGGTAGTGTTGAGGGAGGCAGAGTCGCTGGATCGCGACACCAAATTTGCTATCGCGGAACAAAGTATCGGCTGTGCGAAATAAGCGAGGCGGTGTTGCGTCATTGAATCAGGTGAGCTCGAGATCAGATGGAGGAGAAGTGAAAGTGGAAGTGAAAGAGCGCGCAGTTTGCGTTCGATCGGTGGCCCGCGCGAATTAGGCAGGAGCGACTGATGGTGACCGACCATCTTTACCGACAGGGCGCTGAACCTACGTCGCTGTGTTTAGCAAGACAATCTCGGCTTTCTCATTCGAAGCAGCCTGTAGAAGTAATGCTTGAATGTGGAATTGATGTTGAAAGAGTAAGAGACACTGGAGAACGAGGAAAACTGGACAGAGAAGCTCAAGGCATACAAACGCGAACAGGCTCATGTCATGGTGAACGCTCTTTTTTTACGCATAAGATATCACATACTCTCGCGTCAGCTGGAGAAATGCGTACCAAAATACATTTCCTTCCTTTGCCATGTCTGCCAATAGAGAGTCGTGTGCTCTCAAGGGTCACGCGAACTACAGAACTGCGAACGACGAGTAGATAGCATGTTTGAGCGTTTGCTGCGGTGAGCACAAGTACGATATGAACTGATGAATGATGTAGATGAAGTAACGTAAAATAGCTCTTGGTTCACTATGAAAAGGCCAAGTTTCTCCAAGAACTCGACCGAGAAGATGAATAAGTCTATCAAGGATTCGCTAATGCTAAACATGCGTCAACTGCAAGACCGACCCTAGACACCCATTAGTATCTGTCAACATGCATGAAATGAATCGAAAAAGAACTTACCGGCCCTCTTTCTGCCGCACGACATCGTCGATGACATCCCGGTCCAGCTGGGGAAACATGCCTGTCAGCGTCTCGACTACGACTTTGTGTTCCTGCCGTTGAATCCGCCTCGCTTCCTCTGCTTCAGCTGAAGCCTGTCGCGCTGCGGCGTCTTCAGCCGTCAACCTCTGCCTTTGCCGGTCTTCGTCATGCGACGGGCGTTGCTTCTCGCTCATGTTGCCGGGAAACTCTGTTGACGCACGTGGCGGTAATTGTGGTTTCTGGGCCGCTGCAGGTCCAGACGGATGGTTTGTGTCGTTGTCGGAGAAGATACGACCGATCGTGCTGAGCGGCCGTTGTATTGTTCGCAGTAGGCCTGCGACGGCTGCGTTCTCTTCCTCTGGCTGCTCCGCTTCGGACTTGCGATCCTTCAGACTTGTTGATCGTCGTGGCCCTGCGGTTTCTGCCTCCATTGAGTTTCTTTGTGTGAGCTCTGGTCGCAGCGGTGTTGTCTTTTCCGCTATATGGTGATAATGGGGTGATGGCATACGCTTGTGGCCAGGCGCAGTAGGGTGCAATAGTGCGGACGAAGATGAAGATTCGGCCTCTTCAGCTGCGTGGCGTTCGGCAATGGCGGAGACGGCCGCTTCGACATTCTTCTCGAAATCTTCATCGGTTACTGTCAATGATGTCTTGTCGAGACCCTCGATAAACTGGATGGCGCCCATTAATGATGATATGTAGTAGCCAGCTTCTCCCCCAAGCTTGTCCTGATTCCGGAACCGTAGAATGTATTGTACATTGGAGACGAGATGATCGGGGTTCGCTTGTAGTACTGTGTAAATGAGTAGTGGTACGAAAGCATCGGCTGATTGATCAGAGTTTGACGTTCTCAAAAACCCAAAAATGACCTTGCAGCAGTTCAAGATGCAGATGATCTTGTCCCTAGGCGCCCGGTAGCTTTTGATCTTCAATAGCTCCTGCTGGGCGAGATGCAAAAACTTGCGGCCCTTGTCGCCTACCGGTTTGATATCCAGATGCTCTTCGCTGACCCATTTGTATATGCGCACCTTCTGCGCTAAGACCTCATCCCGCTCTACATCCTCCTGGTGCTGGCCCCTACGGCCTGGTCCAGGCGGCTCCTGTCTCCGTCGACCCTTGCGTGGTGATGCTGGCTCTAGAGGCGGGATCGCAGGAGAAAATGTTTGTGTGTATAACCGGTTCATGACTAGCTTCTCCATGCCTTCTCTCGCGTTGTCGAACTCGGCGTCTGACACGGTCCGCCAAACTTCACACTGTGCCATCTTCTTGCTGATGAATTCGAGGAAGTCACCGATGATCTTGACTTGCTCATGTACCATCCATTGCTTCTTTCCAAACTCGAGCAGGAAAGAGCGCAGGAACTTGGCAACGGGGTCTGCTGTCCGGTGGCGTAGTTGTTCGAGGAAGCGGTGGAAGTCGAAGGGTAGGTCTGGTTCGGGCTCGGGTGCTGGCTGCGCTGGCTTGTACTTCGAGGCATGTGCGCTGGGCGATTGCGGTTCGGCGAAGGACGTGCCGGTGCCTACGCGATGTAGGGAGGAGGTGCGAGGAGGTGGTGATTGGAGCGGGGCGGTCGAGGCTGAATCGTCAGCCGGAATGGGTAGGGGCTTGTCGAGCGGCACGAGGCTTGATCTTCTCGGTGGGTACGGCGTCGACGGAGACTCCAGCATGGGGTTCGCAATTTCCAACCTAGGCGACATGATCTCATTCTCGCCAGGCCCACCGTCCCCTTGGAACTGATCCATGATGCTTTGTATCTCCTCCTGCGAGTTATCTACCGCGTCGCTTGTGCCGTCATGGTTCGTTCCATAGTCGTCGGCCGCGGCGTCTTCCGAATTTCTCCCGCTCGAACGTTCCTGCGACATTGGGGATGTGGTTCGGCTGGGCACGTTGCTGGTTGTGAGGTATTTGTCGTCTTTGGGCGGTGGAGGAGGAGGCGACGGTGATTGTATGGGCGCTTTCCCTGCTGATTTCTCGCTGAGCTCTGGCGGTGGTGTTGATGCTCGGTCCAGCGTTGTGTTCTCTGTCTTGGTGGTGAGCTCCTCTATCGGCGCAGTAGATGGCGCCTGCGCAGCTTCTGTGTCCTTCTCTTGGGGTTCCTCGAGACCTGTTGGGGCAGCATTCGTCTCCTCTGGTGTTTCAGGTGCTTTCTCTACCCCATCTGTCGGCTCTTCCTTGCCAGCATGCCCCTCGTCTTGGGCCTCGACATGGCTAGGCTGCCCCGCGTCCGTCGCCGTGTTCGCGTCATCCGTCGGTGCTTTAGACTCTGTAGGCTGCCCTACGGAAGGCGCGCTCTGGTTGCTCGTGGCTACATCGTGCTGGTCGTCCGCCTTGTCTAGCTCCCTTTCGGCGTGGCTGTCGTGGGCTGCATCGGGTTGCGGAGTTGCGTTCGGGGGAGACATAGACCGAGTGCGACGGGGGATTATGGATGGGTTGTGGGTGGTTGATCAAGCGTCCATGGGTCTGGAATAGAGCTCGCAACAGCTCTCACAGGGGGAATATAAGTCAAGTGCCTTGGTGATTGACGTCTGCTGCGCCTGCGTGTGTGAATCGTCCGCATGGTCTCCCGGCATCTAGAAGCCGAGTCTCCGAGCCACCGCCGCTAGCGCGTCAAGCAACTGCAGCCGTGCCACTGCCAACACCACACCTGCGTCGCCATCTCATCAGCCCAGCCATGTGCGGCATCTTCTTCTCGCTCAGTCGGACTGGACACGTGACACCTGACGCCAACACCCAGCATCTGCTCCGGAATAGAGGGCCAGACAGCACGGGGCAGCACCAGACCATCATCGAATCCAGCACCAAGGACGTCTCAACGCGTCTTCACGCGACTTTCCTGTCGACGGTTCTTGCTCTCCGCGGCAACGACATCGTTGAGCAGCCACTTAGGGATGATACGACCGGCTCCGTCTTCTGCTGGAACGGCGAGGCGTGGAGCGTTGCTGGACATGCAGTTGATGGTAATGACTCTAAGCTAGTCTTTTCCAAACTTCTGGACGCATGTACTGGAACGCGCGAGGCAGCTATGCGACGCGTAATCGAGCTGCTGTCAGTCGTGCGAGGCCCATATGCTCTCGTCTTTTACGATGCATCTCACAAACGCATCTACTACGGACGCGACTGCCTAGGAAGGCGATCGCTACTCCAAAAGTCTACCCCTGATGGCACCCTTGTACTCTCTAGCGTGTGCGATAATGCCTCTGGTGAGTCTTGGGCCGAGGTGGAAGCCGATGGTATCTATGTTGTAGACCTAGAGCTGGCAGACCCAACGTCAAACTCGTTCCCAGGAACGAGAGTTCCGCATTGCCGCTCAGATCAAGAGGAGGACTCTGACTTGTCTTTCGTAGGTAAGTCATCTGGCACACGACTTCTGCTAACAGATTCAGACTCTGCCGTTCCCAGTCATGAATCAGACTATAGACAGCAACTCTGCTTCACAAGATGCTGGGGCAGTAGAACAACTAAGGGCGTCGTTGGAAAGATCACTCCAACTGCGCGTTCAACACATACGTGAGGCGGTGACTGGCGAACCACAGACTGGAGTCCTGGGAGAAACACGCGTAGCCGTTCTTTTCTCTGGTGGTCTGGACTGCACAATTCTCGCGCGCATGTGTCACGACCTCCTACCACTAAGCGAACCTGTCGACCTGCTCAATGTCGCGTTTGAGAATCCTCGGATT